GCTGGTGGGTAGCAGGCTGAGGACGCGGGCTAGAAGCGGGCTCTCGCTGGCTGGGTGACTGGGGGCAACGCGGGCTCGAGCGCGATCTAGGCGCGGGCTCACGCGGGCCAGTTGTTGAGAGGGCAGCGGGCTGATTGCGGGCTCTTGCAGGCTGGGAGATGTGAGGCGCATGGGCTTAGCGGGCTGGATGGCCTGTGCTGAGCTGCGAGCACTAGTCTGCAGCTCGCCAGAAAGGAAAAGTCGCCGACCGGGGCTCGCCATCTCAGGTGAGAGTGAGCATCGTGTGTGCGCCTGGACGCGTAGATTCCGATGGTGCCGTCGTTCCGAAGTGATTCGCCGGAGAAATGGAGAAAATGACCGAATTTTGACCGATCATTTTCTAGATCCAAAACTTTGACCGCAAAATTGACGACCTTCCCGGAAGAGTTTTTGCTTGGAATTTTAAGGGTAGAACGAGCACGAGAAGAGCTTCGCGATGACATAAAATTTTTTCCGATTGGACGACTTAGGCCGGTGGCGGCATCCGACAAAGGTCTGGTACTGGAGATTCGCCTCGACGAGAAGATTCCAGTGGTACCCTTGGATTTTTCATAGCCCTCCCGGATCGTCGGAAAAATGCATTTGAATGTCCGATTTTGACCAATTTTTTGCTAGAGCTGGAAACTTTGACCGCAAAATTGACGGCCTTCCCGGTGGAATTTTCGGATGAAATTTTAAGGGGAGATTCCCCTCGAGGAGATCTAACCAATGACGTAAACAATTTTCTGATCGAAGAACATTTTTCGACGACCGGTGGCGGCGGCCGGTGGAGGTGAAGGAGCTTGTTGGAAAATTTTCGAATTTTTTCAGTCGGAACTCCGTTTGACTTTTTGAACTGGTCCCAAAGACGGTGCCAATAATGGTGAAATGGACTTCACCCGGGCTCCTTCAACTCGAGCGGCCTTCGTACCTGAACCCAACGCCGGGAGGGGTCCCGACGTCGGGCCTCCGATGCTTAAGTCAGCACTCGTTCCAAAATGAGAATGTAGTAATGAATGAAGAGAGTGAGAGAATGAGATACTTTAGCCCCCTTTTATATGGGGAGTGTACCTTATAGCTCAAGTTGGGCTTGTCAAATACCATCATGTCAAGTGTCCTAGCCCATGTATAGGTTTATTCTCTAATATATTCCTTTTATCTATTAAAACCGATCTAGTATAATATCATATATCATCTAGTCCCACCACTCTGGTCGAGAAAGCATAACTCGATCCAAGAGTAAAATACCTCTTCGGGTTATTTTCATCAACCTGCCACTGTCAAGGAAGTCGAGAAGCGAATGATAATGTTTGATTATGTCAATGTGTGTATTATGTTTCTGGTTAAAAACTACATAATAATGTTTGATTTCTATTTCTTAACTATATTAGTGAGATTGTAGAAAAATAAATGGAATGAGATTAACTTAAATTCAGTTTATTCTTGTAACGTCCCAAATCAGTAATAATAGTAAGAACGGTTTCACTGCTCGACTATAAGTGAAATCCGTAATTTTCAAAAAAGTCAAGTTATATTTATATATGCTAAATGCTCTAAAATGATAGATTATTCCTTGGAATATTTCTATATCAATTTTAAGTTAAGATTAATCCATTAATTGGGGTTGTTAAATTATAGCAAGTCGATTCGAGAAATTACCGGACACGAACCCTAGTTGTCGTTCCGGGTATATTTTTCTAAGTCATAATCGAGAGTTGATATTTAATACTTAGAATATTTTTCTAAGTATATTAAAATATCAAAGTCAAGTCTCAGACATTTTTTTTAAACCGAGCCCTAGTCGAGTCTCGTGCCCGAGCCGAGCCGGCGCTATTAGCCGCACCCGTGCACCTTACCGAGCCCAAGACTGCCCCAAGCCTTGGCATAAGTTCGCTAAATTTTTCTAAGTGTTGGAGACTTATTTCTAGCCCTTAGAACTCAGCCCAAGGTCCTTTCCCGCGAGCAGCCCATCCTTCTTGCACCAGCCCGCGCCCCTCGCGCCCAGGCCCAGTGCCGCGCCCAGTAGGCCCAGCGGCAGCCTTGGCAGACCCGAGTTCCAAGCCCATTTCGTGTCTTTTCGGCCCACTTTCCTCATGGCCCAACTCATACGGTTATTAAGGACCTAATAAGGGTTAGATTAAGCTAATATGACCCTAACAAAGTATTAAGGAAATCAGATTAGCACTAGCACAAAGATGGAGTATGGGCTTATTAATATTTTATTCAAATGCATGCTTTTGTCTCCTCCACTCTTGACCCCGACCAGACCTGCTTTCTCCCCATTATTTTATGACTTTGTCAGCTCCATTAAGTGCTGAAAAACCCACCCAAGTCATGCCCATGCCCATACACAAGTTCCATACACATAGAATGAAGAGAAGTCATGAGTTTTGGTCCCCTTTGACCTCACATAGCAAATTCCGCCTCATCTCCTATATAAACCTCATTTATCAGATGCTATGAAGTTCTTAGACCCCCAATACCTCGAGCAAATACATAGAGAAAAATCAGAAAAGTGAGAGACACATACCTTGGCCTCTGTCCGTGTCCGTCCCGAGTCCAGCCGCACCTGTCCGTGCCCAGCCGCACGACAGGGCTTCAGCCAAGCCTCGACGTGCCCAGCCTGCACCGGAGAGGGCCCGACCGCTCGGTCCAGCCGAGCCGGCGGTCCGGCCAGCCAGCGAACCGGCCGGTTCGACCGGCGGTTTGAGTTAGTTTTGATTTGTGACTTTCGGTCCGAGTCTAGTTTCGGAATTTCAGTATTTTTCCGAGCCAGTCCAGTCCAACATATAATTAATTAGTCCGAGCATTTTAGCATATAATTAATTATTCCGAGCATGATACTTAGCATTAGTTTGCTTAAATATTTATGTAGCCTAAGGAGAGTCGAGCCTCCGACAGCTACTCCAGCATCCGCACTTGCATTCAGATTTTCAAGTATTCAGGTGGGGGTCATGTACTGGATGTCACATCATAGATAATATCTTTACCATGGCAGAGGTATATTTGAGACAGTTTAGTTTCGGGTTGGGTGGCCAAGGCCTTTATACCCACCTGATGACCGTTTGGGGGGCCAAGGCCTTCATACCCCATCGGAGTGTGCACACGAGCGGCCAAGGCCGAGGGTCTTTTGACCACAGATCAGAACAGTAATCACAGAATAGTTTACAGTTTTCAGCTCTTATATATTTATGTTTCATGATACGTTATTATAGATGATGTTTTGTTCAGTACTGGTCTTTGCGGAGCATAGTGGTTTGCTCACGCCCCCATTGTGTTTTTCAGGAGGCGGAGTCGAGCGTGTCGGATGAGCACAGATGTGGCGCAGCGCGGTCATGATAGACGGACATATTTTCCCAGCATTTTTATGTCCTAGATTTTATGATCATGTATATTTATTCAGTTTATGTATGCATGTTTATGTATTCGTATTTCGGATGCTTCCGCCAGCAAGTTTTTCTAGACAGTGCGAGATAGTACAGACTATGCATGTATAATTCCATAATCCGCGAGCGGACAGTTTGATTGCATGTTTTATTATGTCTGTGAGCAAGCTAAAGTTCAGTTTAAGTTTTTATCTGCCACATCCCGCAATAAGTCAGTATTTTCGAAAACCCAGCTCGCACGACCTTTAGAAAATAAAAACAAAAATTTTACTCTGATTTTTCAAAGCTAGTAAAGGCGGGGTGTGACATTTCTATTTAAATTCGATATATATTTGGAAGATTTCACTAAATTTGGGGTACTTCGAAGCCGAGTTCTTGTCGGCCACGGACTGCACGCATTGGCAAGAAAAAATAACACTATCTATTTTTAAATTTTTAAAACTATTTTAATATAGCAGGTTCATTATTCTATAATTACTATCTTGATGAATTCCATGACTACTTTCAAGACAAGTTAATAAAAAAAACCTTAATTATTATTATTATTATTATTATTATTATTTTTGGTCAACACGGTATGAAGGTTGCAATTAGTATGGTGGTTTTTTTTCAAAATTTTTTGACACGACCACGTCATTTCAACTCCCCTTTTTGTCATTTCATCTTCCCTATTCTCATTCTCTCTCGTTTTCAACTGTTTCCTCTCTTCTTCTTCTTCCCTTTTTCTTCTCGTTCTTCTTCTTATTCTTTCCTAATTTCGCAGATCGAAAACCACTCCCAACGGCCCTAAAATCTAATTTCCCTTCAATCGTTAGACATGTTCAAGTCATCACGGCTCGACATAGAAATCCTCGCTAGCTTTTTGTCCATGCCGACGTGGCCTCCTGAAGAAATTTGGCGGTGGCCGTGACAGAAGAGCACCTGTTGCCTCTATTGTTCAGCGAAATAAACCGTTGGATGCTAGGAGTGATCTGACGGTACCGAACGATTCTATCCGTACACGTGGCAATCAGAGTATTAAGCCTAGAAAAAACCCTAGCGTCGGGATTTAGATGGAATTTTTGGTCTCCAATTTGTAGCGGTTGCCTCACACGCTACGGATGGTGGTGGTGGTGGTGGTGTTTCCTTAGCAATGTTGATAGGATAGAGGACGAGGAGGAGACAAAGAAGAGGACATGTCCATGCTCCAATTCACCAATGATATATATATATATATATAGAGGGTTGGATTCAAGCGAGAAAGGTGATCAATGAAATAAATAAGAATAAATCTCAGTCATTAGATCCGATGATCCAAAAGCTGCAAAAAAACTCAATTTTAAAAGACATTAAGGACAGTGTGGTAATTTTCCTACCCAATTAACATGTGGGTCCCACCAACACCAAGTCAATCTATCAAATTCTCATGTGGGATCTGGCTCCCTCTCTCATGCATAAACACACAAGCCACATCCCTACAATCTCTCTCTATGTCACTCTCTCTCACACAATTACACACACTGTCACACACAGGGTCGCCGGTTATCTTTCGTCCGCCGCCGTCCTACAGCCCAACGTTTTCTCCACCGCTGCCGAAAGTCCTGTGACGCTGATGTCATGCCGGAAAATCTCCAACTCCCACCGTTGTCTTCATCCGCTAGCCGCCCTACAGCGCCGCGCCACAGCACCGCCACCAGTGTCTTCTCCGGTCATCCAAATGGCACCGTCGCTCTGCTCAACGCCGTCTTGTCTTCACCTGGTCTCATCCATGAAGGACGCAGCCATCAACGTCACCGGCGACCACCCGCTGCTTCTCCCTTCTCCGCAAGGCCCGGTCCACGAGGAGCTGCGATTACGGATTTAAGGTTGTCGGATAACACGCCGGCGACCATCCTCCGTCCTCCCCGCAGCCATCGTCACCGTCCCGACGTCGACTTTGGCCTTCTCTTTCTCCACCGTCTTCAACTGCCGTCCTCTGTCGTGTTCTGGATGGCACTGATTTCAGCAAATTGAATACATGGACACCAAGATCTAGAAACCTGCACTTTAAAGTGTTTGGGCTTTTTTTTTGTAAATTAGACATTATAAAGGGACTAATTTGTAATATAGAAAATTTGAACTGCACTACATATATTAAATATACAATTTAATAGATGTGATGGGTTGGTGAGTTGATAATTTCAAGACTCTATACATAAATGCATAAATGCAATATTTTTGAGTATATTTTAATTTATTACATAACCAAATATGTAATTTATTGCAATATTTATATAAATGCAATTAATGATTAATAAAGTGTACAATGTTTAAAAATTTAATATTTAAAATTTTAATATATAAAAATATTATAATAACGAATATATCTGTATAAGAATAAATAATAAAATATTTCAATTATTTAGGTTAATTCGATATATAATTATATCTACTAGATATAATTTTCAAAAAACACACAATTTATATGTGATCATATAAAGTAGTGCACTTTATATAGCAGTACGTTGCACTTTATAAACAACACGTTGCACTTTATAACACAATACATTGCACTTTATTAACTCACTCCACGATTAACTCTACTTTGTTGGCTGACGTGTTGCACTTTTGTGTTAATGTGATTGCGCCTTATCATAACAAATGCACTGTAATGTTAATTAAATTAATAATATAAAAATATTAAATACATAAATTATAAATACTAAATAAAATATTAAAATATTATCGAACATATTGCACATTATTGGCTGACGTGTTGCACTTTTGTGTTAGTTTAGATTGCACCTTATCATAACAACTGCAGGGTAATGTTTATTAAATTAATACAAAAATATTAAATACAAAAGTTATAAATACTAAATATAATATTAAAACATTATTGAACATATTGCACATTATTGACTGACGTGTTGCACTTTTGTGTTAGTGAAATTGCACCTTATCATAACAAATGCACGGTAATATTAATTAAATTAATAATATAAAAATATTAAATACAAATATTATAAATACTAATTATATTTTTATTAAATAAACCAGAATATATAATTGTTTTATTGTCCAAAACAAATTATATTTTTATTAGATCATCCGATCCAATGGCCACGATGTATTAATTTTGTTAATCGTACTAATAAAACAATTATTTCACTCGTGTTTTAATTTGTTTTGGACAAGTCATTAAAAAATAATGCAATGCGATTGCACATTACCGTATTACGAGTTGCACATCTATATAAATATAAAAAAGTTTGACATTTACCTGAAATAGTATCTAAAATCCCGCCTAAATGTATTTTTGAAGGATAAAAAATCCCGCCTAAATGTATTTTTGAATTTTTTAGAAAAAAATTAAATTCAATCATTTAAAGGATAAAAAAAGATTACAATCACAAATTTTTTTTAACATTCCATCTTACTTAGACTTCCATATAATCTCTTCAATATCTTTAAGGAATGTATTTAGATTTTTTTTTTTCCGAAACGATAGAGCATTTTATAGCACTGAATGCACACAATTACAACCCGGGAACCAACTGATTCCAATACAAGAGAGCCACCCTCACACGGATGCTCTAAAAGAAACAATGACTCAAAAACAGAAAACACACACTAAGCCTGTAATATCCCACATCGGTTGTTAAGGAGAACGAAACATGCCTTATAAGAGGGTGTGGATACCTTAACTTGTAGGACGCGTTTTGGTGAGCTAGCTCCCAAAGGCAAAACCGTGCGGGTGAGCGGGCCCAAAGCGGACAATATTCTACAGCGGGTGGACTGGGCTGCTATAGATAAAAATTGTAATATCCCACATCGTTTGTTAAGGAGAACGAAAGATACCTTATATGAGGGTGTGGATACCTTAACTTGTAGGACGCGTTTTGGTGAGCTAGCTCCCAAAGGCAAAACCGTGCGGGTGATCGGGCCCAAAGTGGACAATATTCTACAGCGGGTGGACTGGGCTGTTACAGATGGTATTAGAGCCAGTACTTGGACTGGTGTGCCAGCGAGGACGCTGGGTCCCCAAGGGGAATGGATTGTAATATCCCACATCGGTTGTTAAGGAGAACGAAACATACCTTATAAGAGGGTGTGGATACCTTAACTTGTAGGACGCGTTTTAGTGAGCTAGCTCCCAAAGGCAAAACCGTGCGAGTGAGCGAGCCCAAAGCGAACAATATTCTACAGCGGGTGGACTGGGCTGGTACAAAGCCTAGCACGCATTCTAAGGCCAAAGAAGATCTGTAACCCTTAGAACTATATGAAGCTTAGATTACCAGCCAACAACTTAACTCCACAACCAAAAGAACAAAATTAACCAAACAACAGTAAACCTGCAGATACAATCTGACACTAACACAATGAATAAAATAAGAGAAAGATAGAAACAATAGCTAGTAGTCATGAAGCGCCCACTGAACACAAAGAACCTAGACCACTTCAAGAGTACCTTGCTAACTGTTTCTCCTCCGAGCAAATTCCTGCCAGTCTTTAACCGCAAGGTTAGCAATGGTAGAGGCTGGCATCCACTCTTTCTTGAAGGTCCAAAGATTTCTCGCCTTCCAAAGCCACCACAGCAGGTATGTAGTAAGCTCTATTTTTGCCTCTAAAACTTAAAGTTTATTGATTGAACATACATCCTGCCACCATGTTCTGAACTTGGTAGAAAAGTCAATGACAATGTCTCAGAAAATAGGAAATGCCTTCCAAACTTCTTTTGCTTTCCTGCAGTGAATAAAAATATGTTCAAATGTTTCAAGGTGCTCTCCACAAGAATGGCAGATGGAGTCAACAAAAAGTCCCCTTTTCCTCAATGTTGTTTTGACAAGCAGTGCTTCATGGAAGCATTTCCACAGAAAATTCTTGAGCTTGCCTTTGATATTTAACTTACATGTTCTGCATCTAACCTTTTTCACCACTTTGGCAGATGAACTGGTTTCAGCCATATTCAATCCTTGAACTTATCCTCGACCATTTTGGAATAAGCCTTTGCCACTGTGAAATCACCTCTTGCATCATTATTCCAAATCCATCTATCTCTTCTGAGTGGGTTAAGGCTTTTAATGCTGAGAATTTTGTCACTGTCTGCAACACTAGATAGTTGCCTAATGAGAGGTGTTCCATTTTCTACCACCATCCCCCATCAATTCCCAAACCCACTTTATGTCAGTGCAATGATGATCATCATTGTAGGATCTAGTAAATGGTACTGAGCTTGCCCATGGATCCTTCCAAATGTCTGTAGTTAGGCCATCCCCTATTTCAATTTGAAAACACCTGCTATACTTGTCTCTTATTGACATCCAAGTTAACCACAGCCAGGAGGCATTTTGCTTAACTGTGGCCTAAAAAATGCTGCTTGGCGGGAAGTATTTGCTCTTCAGAAATTTACTGACCAACAAATTGGGTGAATATGCAATCCTCCATATTTGTTTTAAAATTAAAGCCTCATTAAATAACTACAAGTCATGAAAACCAAGGCCTCCAAACATTTTAGGAAGAGTGATGATAGACCATTTTTTCCAATGAATACCCGAGGGCTTTTCACTGTCATTTTTCCACAAGAATCTTGCACAAATACCTGCAATTTCTTGACAGATAGACTTAGGAAGTGAAAAGCAAGACATAGTGAAGACTGGAAGAGCTGATAACACTGATTACATTAAGACTTCCTTCCATGACAAGGATAGAAAATGATTCTTCCAACTTCAGACTCTATTTTTAACTGACTGGACCACAAAATCAAATGTCTGTTTTTTGGACCTGCCAATCCCTAAAGGGAGGCCAAGATATTTTGCAGACCTGTGCACTTGCACCCCTTGAAAAAGCTGACAGATCTCTTTCTGCAAAGTGGATGAAACATTTTTCCTGAAAAATACAGATGATTTGAGCATATTAAGTTTTTGACCAGAGTAGTTTTGATAGTTATAAAGAATTTTGAGTACAAGAGAGATAGAAGTTACATCAGCACCACAGAATAATAGGGAATCATCAACAAATAGTAAATGAGATAACTTCATGCCCTTTCTAGCCAACTTAATCCCTCTCAGAGTACCTCTATCACACTCTCTCTTGATAAGTTTAGACAACAGCTCAGAAGTCAAAATGAACAGATAAGGAGACAAGGGGTCTCCTTGTCTGATTCCCCTAGTTGCCTTAAAGTATCCACATAACTCACCATTAAGATTTATAGAGAATGAAGAAGAGGAAACACATTCCATGATCCATTTGACAATATTTTATGAAACCCAAACTGCAGCAGGATTCTTCTAAGACAGTGCCACTCAAGCCTATCATAGGCTTTCACCATATCCAATTTGAGAGCTAGAAACCCCTGCCCACCAGATCTATGCCTATTTAAGAAATGTATAACCTCATGTGCCATCACTACATTGTCCATAAGCTGCCTACTAGGAATGTAGGCAGCTTGATTTTCACTCACACACATATGAAGGTATCGCTGCATTCTTGAGGTAATAATTTTGGCAATAATCTTGTATGACACTTCACAGTGACTGATTAGTCTGAATTCACTCAATGTGGTAGGATTATTACACTTGGGAATTAATGTAATCAAAGAGTAATTCCAGCTTTTCAGCAATTTACAGGATTCAAAGAAGCTAAGAACTGCCACACATAAGTCATGCTTGATTGTTGGCCAGAAGTGTTGAAAAAATAAAGGTGACATACCAGAAACTCCAAGTGCCTTCTCTGGGTTCATACCAAAAATTGCAGCTTTTATTTCCTCTTCATCAGTTGGTGCTATCAGGTTCTGGTTTATAGTGGAAGTGATAACTCTGGGAATTAGTTGAATGATACCCTCTTCATCCCTGGAACCTCAGTTGAGAATAGATTGCTGTAAAATTGGCATGCTTCAGATTCAATGTCAGCTTTAGAGTCACAAATATTGCCACCTGCTCTAACTAGCCGTGTGATGGCATTTAATCTCCTTCTTTGCATGGTCGGTGCATAGAAAAATCTGGTGTTTTGATCACCCTCTTTCAGCCAAAGATTCCTGGACTTCTGTTTCTAGAAGAGTTCTTCTGCACATTGGGCTTCATCTAACTCTCTCTTCAAATTCTCCCAACTCTCCCAATTCTTGCCTTCACTAAGAAGCCCCATCTCTTCCAGTTAGTGTTCTTAAACAATGTGTACTCCAAGCCTCTTGCACAACTGTCTTAAGCTCTGGCCTTGCAATCCACTGTTTATTGAAAGTGAACCTGGATTTTCTTTTCTGCTGATTTGGATCACTGTCTAACACCATTAGGCTATGGTCTGAGGCTGATTTGAAACAGTTCAACACAATTGCATTCGTATGAGATGAAGACCACTGGAATGAGCCAAACACCCTGTCTAACCTCTCCTCAACAAAACAATTATTTGTCCTGTTGTTGGACCAGGTAAATTGGTGTCCCTACATGCTTATCTCAACCATACCCATCTGGTCAATAAATGCTTGAAAATTCCTCATGCCTGCAGAACTTTTGTCCCTTCCTCCTCTCATTTCACTGAGATCGATTATGTCATTCCAGTCACCACCTATCATCCACTTGCCCCTATATAGCTTTAGCTTGAAGAAGAAAATTCCATTGCTCCTCCCTGAGTGCTCTATCAGTACTAATATATACAAAAACCAACCAAAAGGTGCATGTCCCATCTGACTTGCTAACCTCCACCTCGAAACAAAATGAGTGATGAATAATTTGCACTATAGCTTGATTTGTATCCCATATAAGTACCAACCCACCACTAATACCAAAGGAATTTACAGCAGCCCACCTACCGTGATACCCCAACTTATGACAGACTGTTTGAACAAAATCTTTTTGCCTTTTGGATTCTAAGGGAAAAATGAAGCTAGGGTGGTGGATTCTAATAGAATCCTTCAATTGGGAAACTGTAGAGGTTCCACTCAACCCTCCACAGTTCAACATGATCATCTTCATTTATCGACTTGGGGCCACTTGAGGCTGGCTTCCTCCACCTGTGCATTGGTACTTTTTGCCTTTTTCTTACTTCTTGTTAAGTGGCCCTCTTCTTCTTTAACATCTGGTTGAGAGATGGTCAGAGTTCTACCTCTTTTCAAAGACTCTTGAGTATTGGATGCAGCTGCCTTAGACTGAGCACTCAAAATTCCGCCCTCTTGCACTTTAGCTCTCTTCCATCCTTTAGTCTTAACAACCTCCTTGTTGGAGACAGCTGGTTGAGTGCTTGTTTTTTGCTGAAAAGGAAATACCTCTTGATGGACCTCTACCATGATCAGGTCAGTTTCAGCTTCTTCTTGTAGATAAATAATTTGGTTTCTATCACTTGGCTGATCAAGCTCTCCTACTACTGGTGCTGGTATCAATTGTTGAGATACATTGGTGTGGTGCTCTGAACTGTGGCTGCCCCCTTCAACATTGTTTCTTATGCTATTATCTCCCATGACTAAGGATGGAGTTGTTACTGGTACTTCTTTAGCAGTTCCTTGATCAGCCTCATTATGAAAGTTGTCTTTACTTGATGATCCTTGGTTGCCATTGATGTCAGGTTGAGGAGAGTAAGAATTGGGTTTAGTAGGAGTGATAGTATAACTGTTTCTGAAGGTGCCACCATTATCAATTGCTCGAAGCCACTCTCCATATCTACTTTCTCTAACATTTCCTTGTTCTATATCTGAAAGTCTGTTGGCACATCCTCTGCTTATGACCCAAATTGCCACAGTAATAACACAAATTAACCAACCTCTCATACTGAAAAGCTACAAGCACCTGTTGATCTAACAATTTCATCGAGGTATATCTTGGAAGAGGTCTAGTGATATCTACTGTGACAAGAAGTCTCAAGAAACCTCCTTTGCCCCCTCCTGCTTTTACAACTGAAACATTTCTGACTTTTTTGAATATGCTACCCAACTTCAACCCAACCTCTGTACTCAGCCAGTCAAAAGGAAGATTCTGAGCTTGCACCCATATGTTAAGTTCAGCAAACCCCGAGTGCTTAGCTCCCATCCCCTTTTCCCATTCTTACAAAATGAGCTATTGGTTCTCGAATATCCAATTGATCCCAGCGGCCACTTTTTTCTATCTTCAGCATTACCAAAAATAAATTGGAAATAATTGTGGCTCAGTTCCCTTACCTCAATCGGCTATTGTATTTGCCAAATTGCACTCATAGTCCGCTTAATGCCAAACAGAGTTGCTTCCCGTTCACCTATGACTTTGCCAAACAAGCTTCGCGCACATTCAGCCGCACTGGATTTAATATCTTTCACTTCAAGTTCGATTACTTCACTTTCTTCGCCCTCCAGGTCGATACTCTGCAGCATATATCCTATGTCATCCATTGCTGCGGCTTTACCCTGATTTGTGTCCATACCCCTTTTTTCCAAACCCTAGCCAGAGGAACTCTCTAAGAATATAGTAGATAAGAAAGAAAGTAAAATATACAGAGTGGATTTAGCGATACCAAACTGCTCTCAACAAGAGAATATCAAGAAACATGAAATGAATTGCTCCCACCAGGAGAATGTAAAAACCACACAAATTCAGACCACACCGATTAACCTTGTAATCCATTATTTCTGTTTCACTTCTAATGTCGGACCACACTAATTATTATCCTTTGTTTGTTTGTTTTTTTTTTCTCCTTTGCCATATATTTCTTTAGCAATCCATTCGTCCAAAATTCTCATTCAAATATTTCCCAATTTCAATCGTTCAGGCCACCACCGCCACCAATTCATCAAGCCAGAGGCGACCCAGCCGAAGGGGCTGACACATGATGAGCTCTTGGCCATCCCGACCGGACCCGCCAGTGCACCGCCGAGGAGCTCAATCGAAAAAAGCTCGACGGTGGATTCAGATCCAACGGCGTGAGGATCAGGTAGGAGCAACCTCGCCGCCATGAAAGCTTCAATCGCGAGGGCGGTCGGGAATTTGCTCTGTCTAGGGCTGACTAGACCTAACAATTGGGCAACCAGTAAGAAGTCGTGTCCGTCTGGATTCGACGAGCGTAGGGAGAAGGGAGAAAGAGGGGATTCTTACTTATTTGTGCCCAGTGGTTCTCTTTTTGGATTCCCCAATTCCTTGTAAAAAGCTTGAATCTTTTCTTATTTACTGATTTTTAAGGACTGTTTTGCCAAATTTTATTTGATGCTTATAAGGGTCAGCTTGAATATTTTTCTCTTAATCTTGAAAAAAAAGGATTGGATTTTGATATTATTGCTTTGCTCAATCCATATTGGTTCTAGGTTCATATTTGGAAGGCGTTCCATGTTCATATCTCGAAGGCTAATCCATAAGTTATAGGACATAGCTCTTACTAGTGGTCTTCAAGGTTATGCACAGTTGTATGTTGCGTTTTCCTTCTTAACATTTTTTGTCTTTTTTTTATTTGAGTTAAAATTAGGGAAAATAGCTTTAGGCTTTCAAATGCCTTTAGGATTTCTAGGGACTAAATGATACTTACTGTTGTTGGGAATGCATGGATGGCCACAAAACTTTTGTGTTTCTACTGTTATGTTTTCTTTTGGACATCTATGAATAAAATTACCAACCATTTAATTCACTTGATTTCTCAATGTAGCCATGAAACCGGCTATTTTCACCTTGCTAACTGGGAAGGCATTAAAAAGGTTGATTTTTTTTAATAATCGATTCTGTTGATCAAAGGGAGAGTCATAGTAAGATTTTTGTTACTTTTTACCACGCTTCGTTCTTTTTTTTTTTAGCATTATGAATACTACTCAATTTTGTTATCCTTTATGTATACAATCACATATCTGAAAGGCTTATGAATTTTATTCATACTTTTAGGAGGAGGAAATCAAGAAGTGAAGAAAGTTTAATTCTTTACCGATTACAATTGCGAAGAATTCTGAAATTTAGTTTCATGTTTTCTATTTCAATTTCAAGTTGTTTTTTAATCTTATAGTATTTGTGTTTCGAAATTTGTTGGAATGATTTTTTAGCCTTTTTTTTGTTTCGTCTAAGGATCCTAAATGTTGTTACCTTTGTACTATTTAGATGATTAATTGTGCAACTTTGTTTTAAAGTTATTTAGTTCGGAAAGTCCTGGCTTTAATTCATTTTCTAATTAATTTACTGGGCTTTGCATTTGGCTAATTTCACGCTTTACCTTACTATTGTGAAAAAACTTATTTGAAATTGATTTTCAGTGCTTTTTTTTTATTTTTTTGAAATTGCCTTTTTTTTTGGGTTTTTTTTTTCTTCGACTGCATCGAGCAAGTAATCTATTCGATTATATTAATTACCACCGCATCAAACGTTGTTCAAAATGATTTCTTTTTCAATTTAATTGATTGATCAACTACTTAATTGGTTGTTTATGCAGTCGCTTTAGACGGTCCATTATAGTCGACCAACAAGCATCAAGGGTTTAATGATCCTTTGTAACGCCCCGACCTTTTATTTAGATAATGCTCGACTATTTTAAGATTAAGCTAATATTTTATTTAGATAATGCTCGATTATTTTATCTTATTTTATTACGCTAATATTTTATCTAGATCATGCACGATTATAGCTTGCGTTAATAAACTCTTCATTTTTGAGTTTCCATTTTCGAGTAAGTCGAGAATTATTCGAACGAGATTTTATCTCGAAGTCGGATAATTTTATAGTTAAAGTATCGGTTCATTTTATTGTAAAAATGACCGTAAGTCTAACCCTTCTTATTCCTTTTTTGAGCCGGGAATAATTTTCCTTAGTCAAGATGAGTTTCGGGTCCGAGAATAATCGAGAAATCATATGGAAATGAGCCCCGGCTGAAGTCGAGTCGAGCCCGATCGAGCACCGCGCCTAGGACCAGCCAGACGCCCAGCAGGCCCAGCGCCCAGGCCCTGCGCGTGCAGCAGCCCCAAACCAAGGCCCAATGGCATTTTTGGCGCAATTTTCGGTCCATTGACCATTTGACCCGAGCCATGACCACCTTAAGTCTGGTCAACAAGATCATATGGTCCTCCAAGGTGTACAACACAAAGTTTAAGAAAAGTTTACAATACAATATATCTTAATTATTTTATGCTGCTTTTAAGTTTATGTTTACAGTTGAGATTATTTCAGTTGCAGTTTCCCATGAGCATGCAGATCGTGTTTACACTCCCACAGTTTTTCCTATTTCAGGTGTCGGAGTCTAGCGTGCCAGGTGAGCAGACGTGGCAAGGGTGTTCATAAGCAGTGGCCATTTTATACACAATTTATGTTCTAAAATTCATGAAAATGTATGTAATATGTATGCGTGTATTATGTATTATTCAATCAAGCTTCCAATAAACTAGACAGTACGAGATAGCCAGACGTGCATGTGTGATTCCATTATCTCCACAGTGGATTGATTTGGTTGCATGTATTATTTGTGTCTGAAAGATAAGAAAGTTTTCGTAGCATCCTGCAAGTAAGAAAGTATTTTTGAAACCCAGCTCGCACGATCAATCGAAAATAAAAATGAAAATTTAACTCTGATTTTCACAAGTCAAAGCTATATAAGGTGGGTGTTACAGCTTGGTATCTGAGAGCGGTTGCGTTTCTGTATACTTTCAAAGTTTTAGAAAAGCATGACCACGCCACGCTCACTCCGCGCCGACTCCGAGGTAAGTCACCTAAGCCATGTTTTAAGTTTTGGAAGTGTTTATTCCAGTTCAAGTATGAGGCCTAGATAACTATACCTCTATATGATAGAGAACTCTAATGACAGAACTCTAGAAGTTGGGTTAAGACCAAAAACTCTAGACAGAACTCTAGAACAGCTAAGTCCCAAGACTCTAGCCTGAGTTAGAACTCCAGTTTGAATTGGAACTCTAGACTAAGTCAGAACTCTAGCCAAGAAGAGTTAAGTGCGCCGGAACTCTAGCCAAGCTAGGTGTTTTCGGCTTTCATTAAATATTCCAAGTATAGTATAGCTATTTCTTAATCGGCTATATTGTTCTCGTCAAATAGTTAGTGGCTATCCAGAGTGTTGCCCCGCAGAGCTCCGAGCCACCCATCGAATGGGAACAGGCTGTAGTCGTGGGCTAACTCCAAGGATTGGTAGAACGACTACTAGCGTATGAGTATGTAGGATGAGTTTGATCAGACGACATGGGACCGGCACAAAGAGATTCTGGAAGCCAAGTTTCAACCGCGACTTATTCGCGGGAAGAAGTAGCAAGAGTCCAGTGCCTTTCAGCATGAGGCTGCTCGGTAGAGGAGTACGAGCGCAAATTCGCTAATGAAAGCGCATTTGCTCGTCACCTCATGGACACCGGGGAGAAGAAAGCATTCCCTTATCGGAGGCAGAACCTTAGATGTAGACGCGTTTGTGATCGAGATGAAGGACTTTGACATAATTCTCGGCATGGATTAGTTGGCGAGGTACCGCGCAGATATCAGATGTCACGATAGGGAGGTGACACTACACTTGACCGAAGGGAGACTGCATCTCATTCTTCGGGACGAAGACCCGGACTTCACCGCATGTTATTTCCATGGCGAAAGCGACGAAGTACTTACATAGAGAAGACTATCAAGGATTTTTTGTCAACATCGTTGGGGAGACGTCGGAGAAGCTGACACCCGGAGATATACCCATTGTTCGTGATTTGTGGACGTTTACCTGAACAATTATCGGGAGGACCACCAAAACATCAGGTTTTGTTCACAATCGACTTAGTCCCCGAAGCGGAACCAGTGTCGAAGGTGCCTTATCGCATGGCGCCGAAGGAGCTTCAGGAGTTTAAGGCTCAAATTCAGGATATGTTGAATCTCGGTTTCATCTGATAGAGCGTTTTGCCTTGGGGAGCACCTGTCTTCTTTGTCAAGAAGAAGGATGGATCTATGCGTATGTTCATCGACTACCGGGAATTGAACCAGTTGACGGTGAAGAAAAAGTATCCGCTCCCCAGAATAGAGGACTTATTCTATCAGCTGAAGGGAGCCAGCGTGTTTTCCAAGATAGATTTGCGTTCTGGGTACCATCAGTTGAAGATCAAAGAGGGTGACGTGGCCAAGACAGCTTTCAGAACGAGATACGATCATTACGAATCCGCGGTGATACCGTTTGGCTTGAGCAATGCGCCTGCGGTATTCATGGATCTCATGAACCGTGTCTTGCATCCCTTCTTAGAACGATTTGTTGTCATCTTCATTGATAACATGTTGGTCTATCCAGTAGCCCAGAGCAGCATGAGGAGCACTTGAGGACTGTTTTGGAAACTCTTCGGCGTGAGAAACAGTACGCTAAGTTCTCAAAGTGCAAATTTTGGCTAGATCGAGTGGTTTTTCTAGGACACATCGTCACATCCAGAGGGATTGAAGTAGACCTAGGGAAGATAGAGGCGATTCATAATTGGTCAACACCGAGAAATGCCACCGAGGTTTTGAGTTCTCTCGGACGAGTTGGCTATTATAGACGATTAATTGAGGGGTTTTCGAAGATTGCCCTGCCCTTGTCTCGTTTGACGAGGAAATTGGTGAAGTTTGAGTGGAGTAGTCGTTGTGAGTCGAGCTTCCAGGAGCTCAAAGAGAGGCTTATGACGGCACCCGTGTTGACTATTCCGGATCCCACACAGAGTTTCACTATTTATAGTGATGCCTCGAAGCAGGGCTTAGGTTGTGTTTTGATGCAAGACGGCAAGGTTGTGGCTTATGCTTCCCGTCAGCTAAAGCCGCACGGGTGAACTACCCGACTCATGATCTTGAGTTGGCAGTTGTGGTTCACACCCTGAAGGATTTGGAAGCATCAAATGCATGGTGGTCAATGCAAGATCATTTTCGACCACAAGAGTTACAGTATATCTTCTCCAAGGAGGAGTTGCAAGAATTTAAGACCCAGAGCCAAGCGCCTCAGAGTTGCGGATGACTAGATCAAGATCGTCATCGCAAAGTGCACTAGCTAGGGTTATGATGAGGAAGACGCGTACGTCTAAACGGCCAAGCCTGATCAACCTGATGAAATACATAACAGACCTTGTTTAATCGGGCGAGCCGATCAGCCTGACGAGGTAGACACATTTGCGTCTCTCCCAAACCTTGAAGTATCACCATGGTCAAGGCGATGCTGCAAAGGATAGTTGAGATTTAGAGCCCCAGGTCACCATATAGGTTCTCGGTCTTAAGTTGATCTAGGACACGGTTCGGAAGGTCGCCGAAATCCGAGAAAGGCTGAGGGAGACACAGAGCAGACAGAAACCCTACGATAAACAAGCGTAGAAGGGAGCTTATGTTTGAGAAAGGAGATAAAATGTTCCTGAAAGTCACACCGATGAAGGGCGTTATACGTTTTGGGAAGAAGGGGAAGCTGCAGCCCTGTTTAATAGGGCCATTTGATATTCTCGAGCTAGTTGGCATAACCGCCTACCGTCTGGCGTTACCCAGAGCTCTCGGGTGTACAAAACGTATTCCACGTTTCGATGTTGTGAAAGTATGTGTACGACCCGAGTCATGTAGTGAACTTTGGAGAATAAGAATGTAGGGAAGACCCTGACACATGATGTGCAGCCAGTAGCAGTCCTGGACTGAAAGGTTCAGCTACTAAGAAACAGTGATATAGAGCCCGTCAAGTTCACTGGAGTCACCCAGACAAGTCGGGAGCCATTTGCGGGAGAAAGGCCGAGATTAGAGTTCCATCCCCAGATCGGTTATTTCCGTATATATGTGTGATGTGTTCAGAGATGGCTCCATAGAGATGTATGAAAGTAAAGTTAGGACCTGAATGGTTGAGTATCTCCCGTTCTTGGTGGAGTTTTTTTTACCCAGATTGAGTGGAAGGTTTTCCCACCCTGGCTCATACAAGAGTATACCGAGTTGAGTTATGTATACAGAGATAAAGTACTTGCCACAAGGGCAACGACTCCCAAGGGGGTCTTTGCAGCTACCTATTGCCTGAATTGAGAGGCCAATGCCTCTCCCAGGTTCCGAGGCGGCTAAGGCCCCCCGGAGTGTGCACATGATTTCCCGGTCAAGACCGGATGGTGTAGTTGCCAGAATCAAGCTCAGTTATGTTTCCCAGATATCCAGATTTTCAGTTTTGAGACGTTCAGTGATACTTATGTACATTTATCTTGTATGATTGTATATAGTTTCTAGTATGAGTTCTGACTTAGTACCTTAGTTTTGTATTTTCGAGGACGAAAATATTTTAAGAAGGATAGGTTGTAACGCCCCGACCTTTTATTTAGATAATGCTCGACTATTTTAAGATTAAGCTAATATATTTAGATAATGCTCGATTATCTTAGCTTATTTTATTATGCTAATATTTTATCTAGATCATGCTCGATTATAGCTTCCGTTAGTAAACTCTTTATTTTTGAGTTTCCATTTCGAGTAAGTCGAGAATTATTCGAACGAGATTTTATCTCGAAGTCGGATAATTTCATAGCCAAAGTATCGGTTCATTTTATTATAAAAGTGACCGTGAGTTCAACCCTTCTTATTAATTCTTTGAGCCGAGAATAATTTTCCTTAGTCAAGATGAGTTTCGGATCCGAGAATAATCGAGAAATCATGTGGAAATGAGCCCTAGCCGAAGTCGAGTCGAGCCTGGTCGAGCACCGCGCCCAGGCCCAGCCAGACGCCAAGCAGGCCAGCAGCCCGGGCCCAGGCGCCCAGCAGGCCCAACGCCCAGGCCCTGCACGCCCAGCAGCCCCAAACTAAGGCCCAATGGCATTTTTGGCCCAATTTTCGGTCCATTGACCATTTGATCCGAACCTTGACCACCTTAAGTTTGGTCAACAAGACCATTTGGTCTTCCAAGGTGTACAACACAAGAACAAAGCTTGAGGACAAGGGACATGCATTTTTTATGTCTTCCATGCATGTCCCCCACTTGTTTTGTTGACCAAGACCATGCTAAAGCCTCGCAATTCGTCCTAAGTCTGATTATTATCATAATACACTTCAGTTTACTCCATTTTCTCTCCAAAAGCTCAGCGAATTCCGACTAAAGCTCCGGCCAACCCTCTAGTGGCCCTGGGCGCGCGTACCAAACCTTCGGCGAGCCACCAGCCATTCTATTCGAGTTCCATTGAGACATAATACATCAAAGATCTAAGGACAACCCCAGAGACTCCTCCATTCAGCCACCCCACCGTTGGTTCACCATAGCACCTCCTTTTCCCGAGCAACCCTTGAGACGAGGCCGAGAGCCACCCTCCTTGTCGTTTTTGAACATCGGTGAAGGTAGGTCTTCCCTGAACCTCATTTTAAGTTTATACTTGATATTTTAAGATTTATCAAGTAGAGAATCGAGTCATGCATGTGAGATAATGAGGTTTTGGATTTTTAGTTCCTCTAAGCCTTAAATTTGGATTTTTAGTTCCATGCATATTATGGCCAAAGTTAGTACTCCTAAAATCCTTATAAATCATGAGATTCATGTGGTAAAAATTTGAGAATGTTTGGAGGTCGTTTACTTGGTTAAGTAGAATTCGATTTTTGAGCTAATTTGACCCCCGAACCAAGTCTTGTTTTACCCGAATTATTACCCTTGTTTTTAAGCCTAAAATCATGATAAATTATGTAGAACATTCTGCCATCGGTCCCAAGATAAGAAGAGATAGAAGTTCTGGTGACTTAGAACCCAAGGTAGCCCGATTTTGACCCGAGTCTTTTAAAAAATGAGTCAGACCATCCGGAGCTTTTATTTCATTTTTCGACTCCTTACATCTTAAAATATTTGTTGAAGTCGAATGTCACTGGAAAAGTAGCCGGAAGGTCGGCGAGGAGCCGGCCGTGACCGCTGCCGCACACCTAGCGCTCGCAGCGCCCAGCAGCCTAGGCACCGCCCGTGCCAGCGCCGCGCCAGCGCCATCAGGCCCTACGCGGTCGAGCCCGGGCAGCCGAGCCACCCACGACCGACCGGCTCACGGCAAGCCGCCGATCCAGCCAACGAACTGGTCTGGTTCAACCGGGCGGTTCGAGATGTTTGGCTCGATTTTCCAAGTCCGATCGTGTTCCAGAGAATTTAGTATTTTTCCGAGCTGAGTTAGCCCAGTTTCGAGCCAGTAAGTTTAAGTCCCAGACTTAGAATATTTTTCCGTGAACCGAGAGTGTTCCATTATAAATCCGGAGATTAGAAGCATGTTAGAATTTTGTTAAGTTCTTTCGAGCATGAGACTTAACATATTTTAGTTATATTTGTGTAGCTTGAGGAGAGTCGAGCCTCCTCCTGCTACTCATTTCAGCACTTGCATCCGTATCAGTACATTCAGCACAACAGGTGGAAGCCTTTACAGGGTGTCATATTATGCATTTCAGTTATCCTATATAAGGTACGTGAGTAAGTTGTTTACTAGAACAATTGAGTTATCCCGTTTGTGGTTCAATTAGTTCTCCCAGGTGAGAGGTCGACCTAAGGGCCTTCCGATATCCACCTAGTAGCCGACTGAGGTTTCGGCCTCAGTGTCTTGGTGGTGTGCACACGAGCGGCCAAGGGCCGAGGGTCTTTTGACCACAGTTTTAGTTCCTGTGCATAGAAGCGGCCAAGGCTGAAGGATCTTTGACCACAGTTTCAGTCCCTGTGCACAGAAGCGGCCGAGGGCCGAGGGTGTTTTGACCACAAATTTCAGTTTAGCTCTTATATATTGATTCCCTGATCTAGTGTATTATAGATGTTGTCTTATTTTGTACTGGTCAGTAATGGGGGGTCATGTACTGGATTCCACATCATCTCTAATTACTTTATCATGACAGAGGCATGTTCGAGATGAGTAGTTCTCCCAGGTGAGAGGCCGACCTAAGGGCCTTCGGAGATCCACCTGGTACCCGGCTGGGGCTTCAGCCTCAGTGTTTGGGTGGTGTGCATACGAGCGGCCAAGGCCGAGCACCAAAGTTAAAGTTTAAGAAAAGTTTACAGTACAATATATCTTATTTATTTTATGCTTCTTTTAAGTTTATGTTTACAGTTGAGATTATTTCAGTTCCAGTTTCCCACGAGCATGCAGATCGTGCTCACACTCCCACAGTTTTTCCTATTTCAGGTGTCGGAGTCCAGCGTGCCGGGTGAGCAGTGGGCATTTTATACACAATGTATGTTCTAAAATCATGAAAATGTATGTAATATGTATGCATGTATTATGTATTATTCAGTCAAGCTTCCGCTAAACTAGACAGTGCGAGATAGTCAGACGTGCATGTGTGTTTGCATTATCTCCACAGTGGATTGATTTGGGTGCATGTATTATTTGTGTCTGAAAGATAAGAAAATTTTTGTACCATTCCGCAAGTAGGAAAGTATTTTCGATACTCAGCTCGCACGATCTTTTGAAAATGAAAATGAAAATTTAACTCTGATTTTCACAAGTCAAAGCTATATAAGGCGGGGTGTTACACCCTTGAGCTAACGAGCACATACTGGTTCGGGCTTTTCGAGGCTTATGCGATTCTTTCCAATTTGAGTCATAATGTAGTCGATGCCAAGGTTTGGACATCGGGCCCACCAATCGAGGACGAGCAGAAGTTGGACACAATCGGGGTCATTTTGAGGAACGTGCTGAAAGCGGACAATGACATTCGGAGCGCGAGAACCTCGGTTTCTTTGGCCGAGATTCCTACTGAGAGGAGGCTCCACCAGCTTATGTTTGTTGACCGAGACTATAAGAGGAGGGTTGTGGCTGGGCCTTGTTCGGGCCCGAGTGTATCTGTTAGGAATCATTTGGAGAAGGATTACTCGGTCGTGAATATTCAGTGCTGATGTAACGCCCCGTTTTATTTTAAAAGGTTTACCGAATTTATTTATAAAATACAGAATTTATTTTTTTGCGAAATCTCAATCTAAACTTTAATATTTAACGGGCGCTACTTAAACAACTAAAACAAATAGACATTTAAACAGATACAATCCAACAGCTCAAAACAAAATCCCAAGTTATCCATAAACTTCAAACCAGTCATGCGTAAACAATTACTTCAACAGGATTCAATAGTCTAAGCAACAGGTTCGAAATAAAAAAAAAACGGAAACATAGATATTCAAAGTTGGACAAATGGTTTATCGAGATAATAGAAAGCAAAGTGGAAGCAAGTAACACACAATCCAACGACCATCACTCGATCGTCTCTCGCTGCCGCCGCCAACCATACTCAACCTAAAAGATAGGAAAAGGAACAAGAGGACAGGAAAGTAAATGGGGGTGAGTACAACCATCATACTCACCTTTACCGCACAGTATATTTCGCATAAAGATCCATAACCATAAATAATGTATGCGTAGAATCTAGATCTAACTCCCTATTAGGCCCAATCGCAAACCTCCTATGTACATACAACAAACCTCCCGACCAGACATCGGCGTGGATGTAACTGGAAGCACTCCCACCCCGGATGCAACAGGCGTAGGAGCATACCAGGAGACGGTGAAGTTGAATTACCCCTCCGCTCTACACGGATTCGGGCGTTCAGACAATCCCCTCCGCTCTACACGGATTCGTGCGCCCATCTCCCGGATACAACGGGCATGTGACTTCCACTAATTATACATTCGTCAAAGGCACTACCATCAAGATACTTAGACTAGGGTTCTCACGCATACAAAAACTATCGCGACAAAAATTTATACGAAATAACAAGTGCCATAAATGTGGATTCAACATAAATGAACCCACCTGGTAGCGTTCGAAAATTAACACAAACAAGGGTAGGCGGCGAGGTCGACTCGTCAAACACCTACATTTATTAAAATAGTCTTATCAAAGACTATTCTATAATTTCTAAGCCCAACATAGTTCATATAATCATTTAAACACGTATCAAAGCAAAAGAAAACACATTTTCGAAAATATCACATAAGTTTAGAAAACTTGACCCAGGCAGCGTTTTTAAAGTTGACATAACTCTCAGCATATACTTCATATGAACATGAATCCAGTTGCATTGGAATCCTAAGACATAAAAGTACAACTCTTATGAAGACACTGAAAACAGATAAGGTCATTTAACCGGTGATAAAACCACAAACATTAAAATTTGAGTCACAGTCCAAAACTGGAAAAAATATACTTGACCAGACTTCAGTATTTACCACTTAATTGGAGCTACAGGCATGCTTTTGATGAGATAAAAAACCACATGATTGGCAACTCAAATTTCTACAACTTTGCTGAAGATCATATTGGCAAATAAACACATATTCAATGAGTTTAAACACAAAACATTTGATTCAGTAAAACTGTCAAAAGTTAACAAATGATATGGACAGCATCTCAATCTTTATAATTTATCTCGAGCTACAGACATTTAAATGATATGGTTCAAATCCTAAATTAAACCTTAAACAAAACTCTACATCTTTTATTTAGATCACAGAAACATATAAGACCATTTAGATAGAGAAAAATAGGTTCAAATTCAGTTTCAGATTTCTGCCAACATGATAAATCCTAACTCATGCATATCTAACTTCATAAAATAATAACTCGAGCCACAGAGAACATATCAACATGAAATTTATCTCATTTAAAAGGTAAGGGATAGATCTATAACTTTTATGAAGAGTGTAAGTTCATAAAAGCACATTTTGACACGAAAAACAGACCAAACATTAAATCCAATTTTGGTGTCGGGTCCAGAAAAACTGGAAGTACAACGAATTTTGAAAAAATCATAACTTTTTCGATATAGATCGGAATCGAGAAATTCCAAAGCCCAGATATAGAAAACTGAAAACATTACAATTCTTATGAATATAACGAACTCAAATACTAAGTCTATGACGGCTTTAACCGCAGCACGACAGAACAGTGAAAATTTGACTTCACATAAAATGACAATCATATTCATTTTGGATGTTCGAATTTCAAGCTCGGTTCATAAGAAGCCTCGACAATACGGAATATCATATTTACAGCAGCAAAAAATCAATATAGAGGAGATTTCAAAACATCTAACGATATTTGATAATTATTAAACGACAAATTATTAGAATCGAATATATAGGATCACCGAACATAAAATCACGAAATATCACGAATTGACGAGTTTAGCAAAACGGATTTACCGAACATCAAAGGGGAATAGTCAAGCCTCGGTTCCGGAGTTTCGGAAACAACAAATCCTACGGGCGGGGAAGATCGTCCGCTTGACTCACTCGACGTCTAACGACGGCTCGCTCGACGAAGGAGATGACCGAAAGTGGCTCGTGCCCGTGAAGGTGTTGTCTCCGGTGATGATGGTGGCTGGCGCTGCTGTCACGAGGAGGTCGACGGCGAGCTCGGAATTTTTTTTTTCTGGTGAGAACAAGAAAAATGAAAAGTAAAAGTAGAGAGAGGGAGAATGAGGAGGGTGACGTGAAGAGGTAGAAGAAGATGAGGGGGGAGGGGTTACATATCTCATTCATTTGGTAAGTTACAAAATTAAAAATCTCATGAGTTAATTCTCATAAATTTGTATTAACTCAACTTTCAAAAAAATTCAAAAGAATCTCTCATGCATGCACAAGAGAAAAAGAAAGCCTAGGCCGTTTTAATCCATGCGGGGCGGTTCGGTTGGAGAGGAAAAATGGGCGGGTTCGGCTCGGCCCGGTTCGAGTCTCATTTATTTAAATTTTCGGTTCGACCAAAAATAAAATAAATAATACTATTCGGCTCGACATTAAAATTAATGCAATTTAGCAATTACGAGCATATAATAAAAATAAAATTATCGAGCCCGAATAATTAATTCAGAAAATAAAATAAATGACAAATAATAATATTCAATTATTCTCGAACAAATGGGGCGCTACAATCTACCCACCTTAAAAGGAATTCCGACCTCGAAATTCAAAAAAATAAAAAAAAATCCAAATCACTAGAAATACAACGAGATACAAAAGGGAATCAAAAAGCGAAGTTCGGATATCCCCTCCTGATATCGGCCTCGATCTCCCAAGTCGCCTCAGACTCGTCGTGTCGGCTCCACAGCACCTTCACAAGACTCACTGCCCGGTTCCTCAGCTGATGGACCTTCCAGTCCAGTACGGCAACCGGCACCTCCTCATAGATAAGGTCTCGCTCGACCTACAGCTCGCCGAACTCCACCACGTGGTCGGGATCGTGTACATATCTATGCAGCACCGAGACATGAAACACATCATGCACTCCCGGCAGGCTCGGTGGTAAAGCTAGCCGATACGCCAAGTCCCCAACTCGAGCAAGGATCTCAAAAGGCCCGATATAGCGAGGCCGAAGCTTTTCCTTCTTTCTGAAGCGAATAACACCCTTCATGGGCGAGACCTTCAGAAAGACGTGATCACCCACGGCATACATATGCTCACGCCTATCTCGATCGGCGTAAACCTTCTGCCTCTCCTGGGCAGCCCGGATATGCTTCCGGATCTCATCTACCTGCTTCGAAGTCCGATGAATGAATTCCGGACCCATAATCTTCCTCTCACCAACTTCATCCCAATAGATAGGGGTGCGAACCTTGCGCCCGTACAAAGCCTCGTACGACGCCATCTTGATCGAAGAGTGATAACTGTTGTTATAGGCCAGCTCGACCAATGGTAGCGCACTCTTCCAGGTTAGGCTACGGTCCAAGACGACAGCCCTCAGAATATCCTCCAAGTACTGGATCGTCCACTCCGACTGACCATCTGTCTGGGGGTGAAAGGCTGTGCTAAAAGCCAACCTCGTTCCCATGGCTCGGTGCAGAGTCTTCCAGAACTGGCTCGTGAACCTCGAGTCGCGATCGAATACAATCTCAACGGGCACTCCATAACTTGAAAATAGGTCGAGAACGACAAAGAAAAAAAAGAGAGAAAAAAAAGAAAGAGAGAAGAAGAAACAAACAAAAAACGGCACAGCCCCAGGACAAACACTGCTAAGACTCGGCATCCGACTTCTCAGCAGTGTCGTCCCCACCTTCCACAATCGTGGTAGTCTTCTCTGCCTCCGTATCCTTGTCGACAAGCGGCTCAGTGCCCTGTTGCTCGACATCCCTCGCCTCGACTTCCTCCTCGCGACTTGCCCCACTTGCCCCGATTAGTTCGATCGGACTGAACAAGGGGGTGTGAGGAACCTCGAGTTGCGTGCTCAAGCCAGCCTTACGGATGGCCCAAGCCTCGAGTCCCGACCACCATGGATAATCGTCGGGGAGAGAGTCATCGCCCTCGTAGTCCTCGGGATAGAGAAGCGTCTCCTTAACCGCCTCGCGGTCGAGCTTTCCCTCAAATTCGGACCCCGCCACCACCGCCTCCCATGCGGAAAAAGTATGCTCGAAGTATTGGAGGGTGGCGGGGCAGAGCTTGTAGAGAAAGGCGGGAGAGTTGCAAAAGGCCTTGACGACCTCCTGGCGATAGGTCTCAAGGAAGACGGCGCCCATCGGGGACTTCAAAAACGTCCTGCGCCCCTCCTCGACACTGCTCTCCCTCTCGACCACGGCCTCGTCACGAGCCTTGTCGAGGTCGGCCTTGAGCTTGTCATTCAAGTGCCGGAACACAGCCTTGTCGGCCTTCAGCTTGTCGACAAGGGCCTTCGAGGCCTCCAGGTCCTCCTTTAGCGCCTCGATTTCCTGGCGCTGAGCCTCACACTTGTCCTCGAGGGACTTGGTGGAATCGAGGGGAGCCTTGCTCATCCCCTCGAAGCAAGGGAGCGCTACAGCCAGAAACTGCCAACAAAAGCAAAAACAACATTAAAATTGGCCAAGTAATATTTGAA